GTTTAAAAGGAACCAGAGGAGAAAGGAGACAATTTTATTTATTTATTTATTTATTTATTTATTTATTTATTTATCTTTTCTTCTGGTACCAGGAATTGAACTCATGACCTTGCACTTGCCAGGCAGGTGCTTTGCCACTGAGCTAAATCCCCAGCCCCATGAGACATTAATTTCAGAAAAGGAAACTTAGATTCATCCTTGTTACCCTGAAAACAAGGATGCTCATAATGATAAATTTTTAAAACAATAATGGAAACCTGATGATAATAAAAGAAACCCTGGAAGCTTATTTTCAACCTAGAATTCTATATTTAGTGAAATTATCCTTTAAGGATGAAGATAAGCTGAAGGCATTTTCAGACAAACTAAAAAAAAAGAAAATTTGCTATTAATCTCCTGTACTGAAGAAAATATTAAACATATTCTTTAGAAGGAACTCCAGAATGGAGTCTTGGCAAAGCAGGAAGGAGGAAAAATGAGAAAGATAAAATGTTTTTATAAACTGAAGTGCATCTTGACCATCCAGATACATAACAATATTTGAGCAGAATATGAAGTATGTAAAACATGAAGATAGATGACAGTCATAGAAAATAATTTGAAAAGGAGTGAAAAGAAATTCTTGAATTATGTGAGGTGAAGAGAGAAGTATTAATTTATATTGTATTTGGGTAAGTCAAGAAGGTCAGCTCTAATGTCTAAACAAGCTGTCAAGAGTGAAGGAGAACATCCCCAAGGTAATAGGGGGCAGCAACAGTAAAAATTTTACTCCATGAAAGTAAAATAATTCAGGGATGTAGAAGAATAGCAAGTAAAACCAGGGAGAACAAGGAGAAAGGAATAATAGGATGGTAAAGTCTATGTGTAGTCAGAGCTGTTATTATTCCCATTTTATCAATGAGAGTTTCAGTAACTGGCCCAGAATCACACAGTGGAGGGGGAGAGGAGCTGGAATTAGCAACCTTGCCTTTGGTGTCAACTCTTAGTTTTTAACTGCCACTTTGTACTATGTGGTTCTGACTCCCCTGCAGTACCCCGGGAAAGATCCAGAGTCACTGTCTGACATCAAAGAAAATACATAATTTGAGACTTCAGGGGTTTTCACAGGATGAGATAACAAAGCCACCAATATATTAAAATTTAAAATTAAAAAACACAATAAGGGTAATTTGGTTGCCTTTTGTACCAATAGCCTTGGGAAGTTTCATTCTTTGATATAGCATTTGCACTATAGCAAATCACCCCAAAACAAAGTAAATCCAGGGAATAAAAGGGGATGGATAGTAATAGAGAGAAGGTCAGAGTGGGAGACTGTGTTGTCAGTGATGACATCTCCAGTTGGTAGGATAATATGTGGCCATTAAAAGAATATTGAGGGAAAAGAAAGAATATTGAGAAACAAAAACTTTTATGTTTTCAGGTTTTCAGGTTGACTATCATTTATCTGAAATGCTTGAGGCCAGGAATAGTTTAGTGGGGTTTTGTTTTTGTTTTTGTTTTTGGAATATTTGCATATACATAATGAGATACTGTAGCCATGAGACTCAAGTCTAAACAGGAAGTTTATCTGTGATTCTTACACACTTTATATACCTAGACTGAGGGCAATTGTATGAAATATTTTTAATAATTCCGTATATGAAACAATTTCATGGTATGGAATTTTTCACTTGCAGTGCCATTTCAGTGTTCAAGAAAGTTTGAACTTAGTTTTTTTTTTTTTTGTTTTTGGTTTTTTTGAGACAGGATCTCACTATGTAGCTCAGGCTGGCCTTAAACTCACAATGATCCTCTTGCCTCAGCCTACAGAGTGCTAGGATAACAGACATGTGTCAGTATGCCCAGCTGGATTTTAGAATATTTTGGATTTCAGACTTTGAGATTAGGGAAGCTCAATCTGTGTACATATCTGTGTAATAAAATTTACCATATTAACTAATGCAGCATGGAAACTAGCATATGATATAATCATCACAAATATTTATAACCCCTCTTCCCTATTCTCCTTGACATTAGGTCTTCTTATTTAATGAGTTTATGAAGGACCACAACTCATACTATTTATAACTTTTGTAAAAAAATCAGTATTTGGATACCAGTATTAGGGTTCCCCAGAGAACAGAAAGTCAGCAAGTTGGAAATTGAAGAAGAGCTGACAGTGGCATTTCAGCCCAAAGCCCAACAGACTTAAGATCCAAGAAAAGCTGTTATTTCTGTTCAAGTCTGAAAGTAGAGGGGAAAACAATGTCCCAGTGTAAGGACAGACATGTGGGAGTAAGGCCCTTTCATCAACAGAGGGTCAGACTTTTGCTCGACTCAGGTCTCCAGCTGGAAGAGGACCACCATGTTAGGGGGTGAGTTAGTTTTCCAGATCTGTAATGAATACCTGGGATAAATCAACTTACAAAGAGGAGAGACTTCAGTCCATGTTTAGTTGGCCCTGTTGCTTTTGTTCCTGTAGCAAGGCAGTACGTCATGGCACGAGTCTGTGACACAGCAAGTTGCTCACCTCATGATAAGGAACAAAGAAAACGTGGAGGGGCTGAGGTTTCAATATACCCCTCAAGGGACATCCCCAGTGACCTAACTTCCACTATTTAACAGTTTCATTACTAGCACTACTGGGAAACCAAGCTTTTACCACTTGGGCATTTTAGGAACGTTCCAGATTCCTACTATAGCAGCGAGAGTAATCTGCTTACGGTCTATCAATTTAAATGTTAACCCATCCAAGAATACTGCCATAGATATACTCAAAATAATGCTTGACCTCATATCTGGCTATCCTATGGTCCAGTCAAGTTGATGTATAAAATTAATCATCTCAAATCCACCTTCTGCCAACTTAGCACCCATAAGAATTTCCTTAAACAGCACTTAACCTCTGGATGAAGACAGTAGTCAAGTTAGAGAGTACTGCTACCTGACATGATACAACTATCCTGCACACAGCCTAAAATGTACCAATCTTTCCGAAGAAGCAATAAAATCTTTGAGTGATGTTCACACTTTTTGATATTTTTGACCTGAAATTTGATGATGTGAAATTAACAGTTCTTAACAATAGGACCAGTATATGGAGCTATGATGTAAAATCAATATATCTTAGATTGCATGATAAGAGAAAAAGAGGGAAGAAAATAAGGACATGTATTACATACTTGCACACACACAAATATGTATATGTAGAACAAACTAAGACAGAAATATTCATGGAGGTTACAGTCTTCGTTTTAGCTACTGGGCACATGGTTGTAGCTACTAGTTTCAACTGCCTTCCTTTACAAACCATTCTGTAGTCCCTCTGCCTTCAGAAGCTACCTCAGCTTGTTGTACACTTTACTTAGTACGGTGACTCAAACTTTTGGCTCTGAAGAATGTGGGTCATTACTAGTTCTGCTGGAATTGCATTCCTGTAGAAATCTATTGAGCTTTAGCACAAAGAAGGTAATACAGAGAGGTACCCTAAGGATAGCCTGTATGCCAGACAAACCATGCCCCATCTATCATGGAGCTGTAGTCCATTTTTGCCTTCATATTCAAGACCAATCCCCGAACCAGCACAAGAATCCTTTTCTTTTCTGTTGATTCAAAGGCTTAAGAAATGCAAAGTGGGAGACTGGAAGTCTTAACTTTCTGCTCTAAAGTATGATTGTGTATGTCCTAGTGAAAGCAGGCCTCCCTTTGGAGCCAGGACCTCTAGGCCAAAGGCTACAAGGTCATGGGAACAGGAAGCAAACATTTTGCTAAGGGATCACAAGGGATAATGTTGCATGGTCTCACCACTGTTTCCACCCTTTAATTCCTAGATCCATGGATCCCGGCTATGAGAGGAATAGGATCCTATATTGGCCACTACTTTTAACTGAACAGCATTCTAGAAAATCTTACTCCAGACCCACAAAGTATTGCCACTGAGATGCTATAACTGAGCTCACAAAAGCCCACTTCACCATTCCATTAAAGCAGTTGCTTCAGGATAGTGAGAAAGAGGTTGTGTCCCATAGACCTGGGATGACAGCATTATATTTGCTGTGAAGTAAGTGCCTTGATCAGAAGCAATGCTAAATGGAGTACAATGATGGTGGAGAATATATTTTATGAGTCCATAGCTGGTAGTTTTTGCCAGAAATATTGCATGCAGAGAGGCCCAAATCTATATCCATGTGACTATTCTAGTAAGAACAAAATGCTGCCCCTTCTATGATGGAAACAACTCACTATAATCAAGCTGATAATCATAATCCTTCTTATAGCTTGGTCAGCTGCTTTGTTTGTCTCTGCAATAGACCTTGGTATTTAGTAAATTAACTCAGAAGCATAAATGTTCAAAATGTTAAATTTTAAAAACTATTCTGATAATTATATCTTAATATAATTACATTCAACAAAGTATAGCCTTCAAAAAATACTAGATAGCCAGGGATGTAGCTCAATAGCATAAGCACCTACCTGACAAGCGCAAGGTCCTGAGTTCACTTCCCGGCACCAAAAAAAAAAAAAAAAAAAAAAAAAAGCCATAAAACGAGGGACGGAGAAACCTCAACTGTTCACTTTTTGCAACATAAAACATGAACTGCACAGTGAGATCTTGTCTCAAAAAAAAAAAAAAAAAAAAAAAATACTAGATATTTCACATCCCTAATCAGCATCATAACTTAAAGTAGAATGGGGCAACAGCTTCTGTATTTTCCCTAACAGACCATTTGTAATAGGCTTCCATGGTACTAATACTATTATTCTACTTTTTCCCCACACTTGCTTAACTATTTCTCTAGTATTTTGGACCTGAGATGTGAGATTTCTATGAAAATGTATCCCTTCTTTTTTCTATTCCCCAAATGTTCTATGGAATCTGGGTCTATTGAAGGAATTATACCCTCATTGCCACATTTCACCATGAGCCTTACTGTGACGTCAGAGTTTTCCTGTGATCTCAGAATGAGACATTCTACCAGAGGTAAATGCAGAGAACAACTATTCATTGTTCATTAGTTCAACTACTGTTTTTCAGAGCATAAAGTAAATATCAGGACTACTACCAGCCAACTTAAGGATTCGTGCATGGATGAGAGGTGGTTACAGCAATAAAGGAACTTAAGGAAGCAGGAGAGACAGGTATGTAAAAAGGTTATGGGAGCACAGAAAATGGGAAGGAGAACCTTGGTGGCACAAGGATGATGGTTTTGTGGATACAAGTGCATCTTAAAATGTTATGTAAGAATGGGACGGTTTTACAAAGTAGAGAGGGAAAAAGAGAAAGGACTGACTATAAAAGAAGGTGGCTAAAGAAATGGGAGTCCCACAATTAGAGAAGAAAGTAAACCAAAGGGACATGTGCATTTGAGAGATCATAATGAGTCTGTATGGAGCAGAAACATGCATTATCAGGGTGATGAGAGTCTTGCTGGAAAGTAGGGTGCTATGGAGGTTGAACTTAGGATTAATCACTGGTAAATGAGAGACATAAATAATTTCTTTTGGCCATGTTGGGTGTTGAACCAAGGGCTTGGTGCATGTTAGCCTAGTGCTCTACCATTGAGCTACATCCCCATCCAAACATTAATAATTTTTAAGAAGGGCAAGAGCATGATAGTTGAAAGACAAAGCAGGGGATGGTACACTGAAGAAGACAATGAAATCACAAAGATACCATGACCCATCTGAAGTTGGAAAGTAAGAGAAAGAAAAGAATCAAGTGTGTATGCCTTCCAAATTTCTAGCTCAGGTGAAGGCTTGGTGGAGACAGCTTTAATGAAGGAAAGGTCAAGTTAGAGGCAGAACATAAAGGTCTGGCGCTTAAGAGAGATACTGGGTCTGGGAAAATGAATGCATGAGTCATCTACATGGAAGTGATAGTTAAGGCTATGGGAATAAAGGAGATTTCCTAGGAGGATGTCTAGACTTGAGATGTGAGGAGCTTTGAGGATAAAACCCAGGGGAACACTAATGTGTAAGAGCGGAGCCAAGAAAGATGAGTCAGGGAGGGAAGCAAAAAGACAGGAGGAGGAGAATCCTATGGAGAATGGAGTCACCAAATGCGGCAAACTCAGGCCAGGGTCTGATGGGGAGGAGAGCTGCTAAAGTGGCCATGGAGGCTGAGGTCAGGGATGAGGATCTTGGAGGTGAAGCGGCATCCCGCACATGAAGATGACATCTGGGGAGCTGTTGAGGGAAATGATGAGACGGAGTTGAAAAGATCTTAGCACTTCAAAGTTAGGGAGTGAATCTGTTCCCTTAAAATGATCCTCCAAAGGGATTATGTGTGCTTGAAAAAGGACTGAGAGGAGAAGGCATGTCACTGACTTTCAGAGGCTTGTGGCCCAACAGGGAGATGGCACCTGTGTTTTCCCACAGTGGATTGGAAATGTGAGGAAAGAGTGAGCCCTCACCAGGAAAGTGTCCTTTCTGCTTGGCTGCTAGTTGTATTACAGTTGTGCTGTTTGTAGTAGTGGGAGTCAGTGCCAGAGAGTGTCCATGAACCCAGCGTCTAGTTTGTACACATCTATTCGTTTACACGTGGTCTCAACTGCAAGAATATAAATGCAGGTTTGACCAACACAACTAACTCCATTCAGATTGAGAATGGGGGAGAACAGGCCTGAAGCTCTTCAAAACCTTTCAAGACAACTTAACATTCCCCAAAAAGGAAGACTTGGACTTCAGTGTAATTCATGGACAATGAGAACATTTTGTAGTATTGCCTGAAGTTTTCTTTTAGAATATAATTTTAGAACCTAGCCGTCCTTGAGATCCCTGATTTCCTGTCATCCCAGTTTTCTTTTTGCTTTGCTTTTCCCCTCTTTTTCCATTCCCTACAACTACCACCCCCATCCTCACCACCGAGAGCTCTCCCTAGGGAAAAAATAAAAACAACTTTTCCTGGAAGAGTCCAGACTGCCCTCATTCACCTCCCGCATAACAAAAGCCCAGACTATAATTCTAAGTGGATGTTTGAGTCGTTGAACCAGGTGTCCTGCTTGGAGAGACCGAACATTAGAAGTCAGAGAAATGCCAATTTGAGTTCTTTCGAAACACTTTGTTTCAATTGCTGCCAAAGCCTTGGGGCAAAATGCTATAATCTATTTCCAGTTCTAGCTTTTCAGTTAGCCCAGCCTATTTTTTAAAAAAGTTTATTAACATGCTCGAGTGACAGTATCACTCATTAACTGTATTGATCTGGGAGGAATTTTATTAAGTACAAAACATATTCATTATTTTGGATTGGTGCTAGTTACTTCTTGACAATAAAACATCAAAGTCCTAGAGGATGAAAATAGATTTATAAATAAATCATGAATATGTTAGTTAAACTACATCAGTGATATGTGTGTATAGATTAAACATTAGATGACAGTGACAAGTCAAGCGACAAAAGGCACATTGCCACTATATTTGAAGTAGACTAGTGATACTTTTGATAAAAACATATTTTCAACTTAACATAGAGCAGTAACATCCTAGTACTGTCAGAAGCATATCCCACCTAGTGGATTTGGTGCATTTTTCTTCTAGAGGAAGCCAAAAAGTTATGCCAAGGAAAAGATAGCATAGGGATTATTAGCTACCAGAGACATAAAAGATAAATTCATGAGATTCATTCATTCAACAAATATTTCCTGAGGATTTGCTATGGACTAGCTGATTCTAGTTTCTGGGTTTACAAAGTAAACATGTATGTTTGTATTAACATAATATTAAACACCTGATGCCTTAACTGGGATTTTCCCATAATTCTTAGTCAACATCTGGATAAGCTTATGTATCATAGATCTGTGTTTTAGGTTTTTTTCTTTCCAAAGTGGAAGCTGAAAACCTGAGGTTTCTAAACACTGGAAAGGAATAAGACTTGCAGTAAAGATGTGGAATCAAATTCTGGTAATCAACACTGAGATGGGGAAATGATTTTATATCTCTGAGTCTCAGGATCTGTCTCTATTCTGACCTTGTTGGGTTGTGTCATAATCAAACTAGATAGTGTGTGTACACTGCTAATTGGAATGTGCAATGGCAGGGCTCTTGTGGAGTACATTTGAACAATTCCTCAAAAAGTTAAAATCATCCTATTACCCAACAGTTATACTGTGTTTATAGCAGCATTATTCACAGTAATAGTTGAAAACAACCCAAAGGCCCTTCAGCAGGTAAATGGATAAACCCAGACATAGTATATGTAGACAGTGGAGTATCATTTAGCCTTAAAAAAGAATACAAGTCTTAATGCGTGCTACAACACAAGATACCTCCAAAGTGAAAGGAGCCAGAGGCAAAGGCTGAGTTATATGATTCAATTATTTATTTATTTATTTGGGATTTTTTGACACAGGGTTTCCCTATGCAGTGCAGAGTGGCCTTGAACTCTATGTAGCTGAGGGTGGCCTCAGACTCATGGCAATCCTCCTGCCTCAGTCTCCCAAGTGTTCGTCTTACAGGTGTATGCCACCATGCCCACCATATGACTCTATTTATATACAATACTCAGAATAGTAAATCTATAGAAAGAGAAAGTAGATCAGTGGTTCCCCAGGAGTCTAGGGAAGGAGACATGGAGAAAAATGTTTAATGGGCACATAATTTTCTTTTTTTTTTTTTTTTTTTTATTTTAAGGATAAAAGGAGGGAAACATTAACAGACATACAACATTTTACAACATATCACAAGCACAATACAGACAATACAGAGTTCCAAAC